GGTCGTCACACTTGCAGAAAGACTAGAGTTCTCTTGATGAATTACGACAGCGGTGTCGCTGTCAAACTGCCTTGTGAGGTCGGTCTATTTCTGCTTCTTCCCTGAGCATTCATTACTTCATTTCCGCTGGATTTGTTAAGCCTGCGAGGTGGGCGTACAGCACGACAGAAAATAAAACAACAGACTAGTTGAACTTACCCAAGTATAATATCAAAGAGGAAAAATCCGACCAGGCCAATGACGTAACATGTGGTGGGGGAAGTACGTTTCAGCTGTAAGCAAAAGCGTTAGCATGAAATGCGGAATGTATTCGGCACACAAGTTGAAATTGTAAAATTACAAAATAGAAAAAAAAATGCAGATGCGGCTCAGCGCAGCCTTTTCACAAAGGCCCCGTACACGCCACAACAAAACAGCAAAATTACAGGAGGACGCTCAAGACTTCTTACGTGTCGGAAGGCGAAAGCGTTATAGTCCCGCGGATGAAACGGTTTTCAGTAATGTTTCTACGCGTATTAAAGTGTAGGACGATGTATAGGACGATGTCGAGGAGGACATCCTTAAGGACGCCAAGTACGACGTGTAGGACGACCTCTAGGATGACCTCGAGGACGACCTCGAGGACGACATCAAGAGCAAAGAATAGGACGATCTCAAGGGCGACGTCAAGAACGGCGTCTAGGACGACGTCGAGGATGGCGTCCTAGAGGACGACGCCAAGAACGAAGTCTTGGACGACTTTAAGACGACCTCTAGGACGACGTTAGGGAGGATATCTAGGACGACGTCGAGAACGACGCCTAGGGGAGGAAAATTAAGGAGGCAGCAGCGTATTTGCGTGGACGGCCACGTTTGCTTACAGGAGCCGCCATAGATGGAGAAGCTGCTGCCGATGTTGAGGCTATAGATGCAGACGTGGTCGCCTCACAGTCCATCGCACGAAGTACACAACAGGCACAGACGAAGTCCGAAGCGCACTTTTTGCATACAACGCTCCGGCGGTGACATCACGCTACCGCACTTAAAGGGGCCTTGCAATCATATTTAAGCGTCTACCTTTTTGCGGTTTCCACGTCTCTTGGGGTTCGGGCAAGCCAGCGGGCACGGAGAGAGTAACTAAATATCAGTGCGCCATATTTTAACCGGACGACGCAGAAACCTCCTCCACCTACGGGGGCGACCCGCGGTACCGAAAGCGCGCAAATTGTGACGTCTTTGGTCCTGGGCTTACTACTGGACAGAGCCGCTAAAAGCTTCTTTTTAGTCGAAATACAAAATATAAGTGGCGCGAACCGTTTCAAATATTTATAAAAGGAGTTTTTGCTCACTAGTTTAGACCAGAAAAGAAACAAATGCAGTTCAGAAAGTACGGAAACAAGAAATGACCCGTCGACATACCCGCCACCAAGCGATGGAAAAGGCGGCGCATACTAGAAAGGTGTTGTGGGATCAGGCACGAATGTGTGGCGAGCGCAAAAAGGTCCCGGATGTACGCGGCGGCGCTGCGGTCGCATGGACTGGAGGATTCGACCGGTTCGGAGCGTTCCCAAGGCCTTCGGCGAGCAGCTTTGGCTTGCGATTTAGCCTATTGGCGGTATGGCAGCGCGATGTGGCTCCCGTTCTGAACTGATCTTTACCCCGTGTTAAGTGGTAGTCTGTGGCCAATGAAGTGTCATGCCGAATTAGTGTTTAATCGCGCAGCAAATGCAATGCGAGCCGCCCTGGCTGCCCGCTTCATATAGCCTAGCCAGAACATGCTTTAGTAGCGCCCTCTCGAGCCGTCGACACGGAGTGCGGCAGCCGTGACCGCTCGCTGAGCTCACTGCCCCTCCTCTAGTTCACGGCCACTAAAGCAACTAAGGACGTCATGAAGGAGGTTATTTTTTGCTTGGTTTTGTAGCTTTCATTCACTTATAACTTTTAAAATAAATCGAAATTCGAGAAAAGAAAAGTTTTCTTAAGTTATTACGTTCAGTGCGCTCAGGTTTGGTGCAAACTAAAATCAGTAAAAACGTCCCTGCAGGGGCCCCTTTAAGCGTGAGCGGCGGGTGCTTCATAACGCATTTTTATGGTCATCTTTCGGGCACAACGACTGCGCTTTGTCCATACAAAAATGGTCTATGTAAAAACCTATTATAAGCTATCATCGTATATGGCCCTCTAAGGTCAGCAATAAAAACCATAAAACACGCTATAGCCACTGACAGTATAATCTTTGTCTTCAAAGCTATAGAATATTGACCATTGAGATTTCTGTAGCCGTCTATAGAATAGTATGTTTCTAGGGAGCTATAGACTCGAGACTATTCAATCTCCTTTATCGAGCTATAGAAAATTGTATATACTTAATGCTATAGATTTGCGACTATTAAATGTGCTTTAGCCGGCTATAGAATGGTGTATATCCCTAAATCTGTAGATTCGCAAGCATTGAATTTTCTTCAGCCTACTAAATGGTGTTTCATGTCACCTAAAATATAGGCATCCAGCCTTTCAATGTGCTTTAGCCAGTTATAGAGGGATGTATGTTCCTCAAGCTATATACTCTCAACCATTAAATTTTCTTCAGCCGGGTCAATGGTGTTTTATGTCGCTTAATCTATAGACTCGCGACCTTCTTCATAGCGATGCAGAGGTAGGAAGGTGGAAGAGAATCCTTCATGCGCTCGCTCGGAGGGAAAATTTTCTTTAGCCAGTCTAGTTGGGCGCACGTCGCCGGTGATATAGACGTGCAATCACAAAAACGTCCTTATCTGCCTATAGACATATCGCAGTTTGGCCGGCTTCTTTCTATGCCTTACGTCTGCCTTGACGTTCGAACTGTCTTACATTCGCGTCGACGTCCACTCAATCTTCTATTTTTAGATATAGTTACCCCTTTTTACCTCTTGCACTTAATTTTATTGTTTGTAAGAATATGTATATCGTAGCGCTAACGTCCTCTACTTGTCCGTGTCGCAGCCTTGTTTGTTACCCGTTAATATGTATTTCTTTCTGCGTGGTGTATTTTTATATTTAATGTTTTTTGTGTATATTTCCTCGTTCTCGATGCGGGCGTTAACGAACGTAAAGTCGCTGCTTACGTTGCTACCGAGGTGAGTTCTACTTTTGTCACAGCAGTCTATCGCGCTATAAACTCGTCTATTGGGCTCGAATAAATCTCGAGAGATCTGTTTTGAATGCCAGAGCGGGATGACATCAGTGTAGGCATAGCAACGACGTAGCAATCGCGATTCACCAGCTGATTGCGCCTCGATTTGGCCGACCGTGCTCGCTCTGCTCTAAAGTCAGAAGAAAGGTTAGAACAGCCCACCGCATTATCGTAAGATAAAAAGGCGAATGACAATTTGAAGCCGCGCAAAGCTCAAGGACCAAGCGGTTTGGGCACTGATCACTACAAAGCGTTTAAAGACCCACATGCTCCTTTGTTGCAGTGCGTATTTAGTGAAGAATACATACTTAATATTTAACCTCTTCGTTTTTGTGAACTCAAACGACTTTTGTATCCAATATTGAGGACCTCTCAGAACTTTGTTTTGTTGGATCGTACCGTCCAGTCACACTAACTAACGTGGAATATAAAGTACTGATGAGGGTATTTGCGTAGCGTTTGCAGAGTGTTATCAATATTATCGCCGGCATATATTAGAAATGTCGAATAAAGGAGAGGAGCATTGCAACAAATGTGCATGTCGCCCGTAGCATTCTGCGTTTTTCTGACTCCCTGTTGAAGAGTTAAACGCTTTTCCAGGTCATCCTGAAAAAAAAAAAGCGTTGGACCGTGTGAGGTCGGCGCAATGCGCGGCAGCGGTCGAAAGGGTGCACCATTTGGAGAGCTTCGTGTGTCCTGAAGCCGCCGCTCGAAGGCGGCTCTCCGTTTGTATACACTGCGGCTTTGGCTCAGAAAGGTGGATGGTGAGGGGTTTTCTTCGGCGGTGTCGGGTCCCGATCATTGCGCGCCCGCGGCAGTGCACCTGGAAAGACCTGGCACGTTTGCCGAACAGACAGCATCTGGGATCGACTCGTCGGGCTCCTTTTTTTTTCTTTCTCTTACCCAACGATGTTCGCCTTTCCAGTCCTCACCGCACCGCGTCTCTCCATCCTGGCGCCACTCTTTGCTTCTCAAGAGGAGCCAGGCCGGGGGGAGATACGTGATTCCTGATACTGCTTTCGGCTTCCGACTCGTGTCGGCTTTCGTCATCTTCTCTTCATGAGAACCGCCTTGGCAGGTGGCTACGCCGACGCCGCCACACGTGGAATAGGGTGCCGGCTCGGGCCCTTTTCCTGCGACCCTCTTTGTGTTCGGAGACCAGTGATCACCCAAGGGTCCTCGCTCCGGCTCCAGAGGGGGGGGGGGGGGGGGGTGCGTGACCTCTCGTATGTATGTTATGAGGGCGTTGCCAACTGCACCCAATAGGAGGGGTATTGGACTGTGATTGGGTGGAACACGTGGCGGCCACGGGTTTTTAAACCCGGGGAAGACTGGGAGAAAGGAAGTTTTTGCACGGGCTCCAGGGAGTGACCAGAAATACGCTCCTGGAGCGGGTCTTGCCGAAAGACTCCTGCCGTGTCCGGCAAGGAAGATTGTTCTGTAAAATTCTGCTCTTGTAATTTTTATATTCGCTCTTAATTAGTAAACGTATGTGTTCTTCTTGACGTCAAGTCTCCGTGATGCGTTATTCGACATCCTCGACAAGAGCCAAGACTTCAAAATTGACATCAAGCAGCTAGCATCAGCATCAAACATCATCATCAAAGAAGAAAAGAACCTCACTGGCGCAGTCGACAGGATGCGTATGCAAGGCTGCTGATCGAGGAGTGCTGGTGACATCGAGACGTCTGCTGGAAGCCGGGATCTCGGAACACTGGGCGCGAAGAAGTCACGGACAGCGTCCGACGGACAAGCACCGTCTCTTCATACGGACCTGGGTGGAGGAGCACCGGAACCGCATCGCGTTCACTGGTAGGTGCCCTTTCATTTGCTGGGACTTGCGCGCTCTATGACAGATCGGTATAATCTACGTAGTGGCAAGGGCAAACCAGGCGGTATGAACGGGGAGGACGGAGGTCGTGCGTCGGCGGTCAACGCTGAGGGTGATAGTAGCAGTAGTAGCTCAGAGATGTCGGTGGCAGACAAGATGTCACTAATGCAATTGCAATTACAAATCGCAGAGGCAGAACTGGAGAAGCAAAGGCTTCTGTTAGAAACTCAACGCCTTCAAAATTCGAGCGCGGTGTCCGTGGTGGATGGGAGAGGCGGACTTGGGGGTGCTGAGGAAGATAGGAGGCTGAAATACGCCAGCCTATTGAAGGGTGTCCTCGCCCCCATGCCTACTCATGAGCCGCTTGTGCCCGGATGGTTTGAGGATGTTGAGGCGACCCTAGACTCGTATGGTGTGCCCAACGAGTGGTGGGCGGGGGTGGTCTTGCCGCGGTTGAGTGAGAGGGCTCGGGGCATGCTTGCCAAGCTCTCCGCAGAAGAGCGCAAGGACTATCGGACGCTCAAATCCAAAGTATTGGGGGGTCTGCGGCTGTCAGCGGCTGAATACAGACGTCTCTTTCTGAGCTCTAGGAAGGGTAGCAAGGAGACGTGGGAGCAGTTTTCGGTGAGGCTCGAGAACTACTTGCAATACTACCTGAACAGTTCCAAGGTACAGACCATGGAGGAGCTGCAACAGCTAATGGTCAGCGACCGCATGAAGGAGTGTCTTGCACCAGACTCTAGAGCCCATGCCATACTCAAGGAAAAGGGAGGCTTCCTGACCCCGAGCGCGATTGCTCAGCTCTCAGAGGACTTTGACGAAAGTCTGAGATCGAAGGGGGGTTCGGCTACAGACAGGGGCGCTACGACAAAAAAGCCGAATACAGAAGCACGCGACAAGGACGGACGGTCAGCCGCACCGTTCGGGCGCCGCTGCTTCGGCTGTAACAAGCCGGGTCATATCGCAAAAGATTGCCCTACCCGTAACACCAACCCGAGCAACCGGATGGGAAAACGTAACGAGGAAAAGGATCGCACGTTGGCAGCTATGGTCAGTGCGATAGAATCTGAGGTTGAGCCCCGAACGGCGCCATCAAAGGAGTGCAGTGGCGGACACACGGTGTCGCTAAAAAGTGGCGATGTGAATACTACTGCAATCGTGGACTCCGGGGCCGACATTAGTGTGATTCGACAGTCTATCCTCCGTGACTATGAGGCCGCGGGCTCCAGGATTGAGCTCACGAGTGCGTTCGGCGATCGGGTGACCGCGGAGCTTGCGTATGTGCCGCTTAGTTCCGTCACGGGGGGGCCGTATGTCTCGTTGCAACCGAGAAGTCAAGGGGTGTTACGCGCCCTTACGGAGAGGTTGGTTGAGGGCGTTGACGCTTTGATCACACCTTCTGATTACGAGCAGCTTCTCAGCGAGCGAGTGTGCACTGACTCCGCGCCTCGGCCCATGGGGTCAGTGGCAAGTGATACAGCTGAGAAGGGTGGGGAGATCGGTAAGCAGTCGTTGGAAGCAGAAGTGCTGACTGTAATGACGGAGGAACGAGAAACTGGCAGTGGGGCGAATCCGATTGCCAGGCATGAGTTTAGGCGATGTCAGGAAAGCGACATGACACTGGATGAGGCCTGGAAGCAAGCTCGCGTGGGAACGCATGGAATGGTTGTAATGCACGAGCTTCTATACCATTGTGGACCAATGGCCGGTCGATCATGCAACCAGTTGGTGATCCCTAAGGGTCGACGTGAGGAGGTGCTCCGAATGGCACAGGATTCTGCATGGACTGGGCATCTCGGTGAGCGTAAAACACTTCAGCGCATCAAGCAGTCGTTCTATTGGCGAGGCGTGGCCGCCGATGTCAAGGCGTACCGCCAAAGCTGTCACACGTGTCAATTGAGGCCTCCCGCGCGACAGTCAGACCGAGTGCCTATCGCGCCGCTCACGAGACCGGACGCGCCTTTCCAAATGGTAAATATGGATGTTACTGGCACGCTCGATCCGCCTCCAGGTAGGGGTCACCGCTATGCGCTCTGCGTCGTGGACTACTGCACGAGATGGCCCGAAGTCGTCTGCCTTCGATCACTGACCGCGAAGGCGACATGTGACGCTCTCTTAGAGATCTTCTCGAGTATGGGGGTCCCTGAGACGGTTTGCTCGGACCAGGGAACTACCTTTACGGCAAAACTCACTCAGGAGCTTATGGCAAGGCTAGGAGCGACGCCGCGGTTCTCTACACCGGACCACCCGCAGAGCAACGGACTCGTAGAGAGGTGGAACGGAACATTCAAGGCGATGTTAAGCCATGTAGTCCAGGAGCATGGGCGCGACTGGGATAGGTACATAGCGTACCTCTTATGGGCGTATCGCGAGGTTCCCAACGCTACAACCGGTGAGACACCGTTCGAGATGATGTACGGTAGGGTGCCGATCGGGCCACTGGCTATACTTGAGAAAACATGGACGGGTGAGTGGACGGTGCCAGACTCGCTGAATGTCTCAGCAGGAGCGTATCTGTCTCAGTTGCGAAAGCGCCTCGAGAGTGCATCCTAACGTGCAAAGGAGACAGGTGCGCTGACCCAGGAGGCCTATGCTAACCGGTACAACCTACGGGCTAGGGATAAGCAGTTTAGTGATGGGGACCAGGTCTTGTGGTCGGAAAGAGAAAAAGAGGGTAAGTTGAGGCCAAAGTGGACTGGACCGGTCACAATAGTTCGGCGGTTGCGTCCGTACTCCTATAAAGTGGAGCTCGAGCATCAAAGTCGTAGAACTGTCCACGCAAACAACCTAAGGGCATATCACTCTCGCGTGTCAGTAGTGGGCGTGATCTTCGAGGAGGATCGAGCGTTCGGTGACGTTCCTACCCTTCCGAGTGTTAAAGGAAATGAGGAAAGCGGTGAGCTTCCGACGGTCGCTCATTTGACGAAACCCCAGTAGTATCAGCTGAAGGCATTGGTAGAGAAAAACCGCGTCGTATTTTCTGAAAGGCCGGGAATGTGCAACGTTGGAAAGCATAAAATCACACTGCAAGAGGGGTCCGAACCTCAGCGTGCGTACCCGTACCGGGTTCCCATGGCGTTCAGACGAGAAGTGGAACGCCAGGTGCACGAGCTTGAAGAATGGGGCTTAGTGTCTCCAGTGGAAAGTAGTCACGCGCATCCAGTGGTATGTGTTGCAAAGGATGGAAGTATGCGACTGTCCATAGACTATCGAAAGTTGAATGCTATCACCAAACCAGATGCCTTCCCCATGAGCAGGGCCAGTGATCTACTGCTTGAAGTTGCAGGAGCAAACTTCATATCGATCCTCGACATGCTTAGAGGATATTGGCAGATTCCGATGGACGAGCAGGCGCAGTACTATACAGCGTTTGTGACACCGCAAGGTCAGTAGGCGTGGAAGGTAATGCCGTATGGGCTCCGAAACTCAGCCTCTACGTTTCAGAGGATCATCAATCAGATCTTGGCACCACATGCTGAGTATGCGTGCGCCTACATCTATGATGTGGCGATCTTTTCGAGGACGTGGGACGAACACGTAATTCATCTGGAGCGTGTCTTGGCAGCAGTGGCGTCCGCTGGATTGACCGTTAACGCGCAGAAATGTAAATTCGCTCGCTGTGAGGTACATTTCTTGGGGCATGTTGTAGGGTCGGGGAAACATGGCCCGGACCCAAAGCGGGTAGAGGCAATTCAGGACATCGCTAGGCCGCAGACGAAGAGAGAGCTGCGGAGCTTTCTGGGGCTGGCAAACTACTACCGCGACTACGTCTCCGACTACTCTCGTCTTGTTTTGCCGCTGACTGATCTCACCAATAAGCGCGTACCGCAAAAGCTGCCATGGACAAAGGAAGCCCAAGAGGCATTCGAAGAAGTGAAAGCACGGTTAGCTCAGGCGCCTGCATTCTTTGCGCCTGACCCCCAAAAGGAGTACATCTTGGCTACGGACGCTTCACAGTTCGCGATCGGGGCGTGCTTGGCTCAGGAAGATGACAACGGAAAAGAGCGTCCGATTGCTTTCCTTAGCAAGAAACTAACCCCTGCTGAAACTCGTTGGGCTACCATTGAGCGCGAGGCGTTCGCGATCATCTGGGCCCTACAGCGGCTCCAGACGTGGCTATTCGCGGCATCGATCAAGGTCGTCACTGACCACAATCCTCTTAGGTTTTTGACACTCAGCACCCCACATAGCGCCCGCCTCACCCGTCGGGCTCTCGCGCTGCAAAAATTTAATGTCACGGTTGTACATAAGAACGGCAAACTAAATGCCAATGCGGACGCGCTCTCCAGACTGGTGACGGCCGAGGCATGACCACCTAGAGGGTAAAAACGTGTAACCCTGCAACTTGCGAGACAAAATAATATTCTTTGCTGTCATGGAGTGTGCGGGTTGCAGAGGCCGGAGGGCCCTACCAGTGGCTAATGTGTGATGGTGTGTGTATGTGCGAACCCTTTGACAATTCTGCAAGAGAGGATACTCCGGCCGCCTGTATTTGTTATGCCCCTCGGAGGCAGGAGAGTTCGCTGTGCTATGTTTCGCGGTCGTGCCGTGTTTATTATTGTACCAGTGTATAGAGTGGTCCTTCTACTCCATTCCATCGGCTTTGCTATTTGTAGTGGCTATTGCGTATACATACATGTTGCTTAACTCCGTTAATTTGGATGCGCTATAGTTGAAAAGTTGACGTGCTTGCTAAAGAGTAATTTTCTCTCAGATAAGGAAGGCGGCACGTGGTTGTTTAAGAGGTGCAGTTGCCCTTGGGTGGCAAACCTTAACGTGGTCTTTCTATGTGTACGTCGTACGTTGTTGTGTTCTTGTTTTCCTTTTTTCTCTGCGACCTCTAATTTTTTTTTTTTTGTACTGCTAACCAGTCCTAGAAGTTCTGGCGCAGCCTTGGAGGGGACGTGTGAGGTCGGCGCAATGCGCGGCAGCGGTCGAAAGGGTGCACCATTTGAAGAGCTTCGTGTGTCCTGAAGCCGCCGCTCGAAGGCGGCTCTCCGTTTGTATACACGGCGGCTTTGGCTCAGAAAGGTGGGTGGTGAGGGGTTTTCTTCGGCGGTGTCGGGTCCCGATCATTGCGCGCCCGCGGCAGTGCACCTGGAAAGACCTGGCACGTTTGCCGAAAAGACAGCATCTGGGATCGACTCGTCGGGCTCCTTTTTTTTTCTTTCTCTTACCCAACGATGTTCGCCTTTCCGGTCCTCACCGCACCGCGTCTCTCCATCCTGGCGGCACTCTTTGCTTCTCAAGAGGAGCCAGGCCGGGGGGAGATACGTGATTCCTGATACTGCTTTCGGCTTCCGACTCGTGTCGGCTTTCGTCATCTTCTCTTCATGAGAACCGCCTTGGCAGGTGGCTACGCCGACGCCGCCACACGTGGAATAGGGTGCCGGCTCGGGCCCTTTTCCTGCGACCCTCTTTGTGTTCGGAGACCAGTGATCACCCTAGGGTCCTCGTTCCGGCTCCAGAGGGGGGGGGGGGGGGGGGGGTGCGTGACCTCTCGTATGTATGTTATGAGGGCGTTGCCAACTGCACCCAATAGGAGGGGTATTGGACTGTGATTGGGTGGAACACGTGGCGGCCACGGGTTTTTAAACCCGGGGAAGACTGGGGGAAAGGAAGTTTTTGCACGGGCTCCAGGGAGTGACCAGAAATACGCTCCCGGAGCGGGTCTTGCCGAAAGACTCCTGCCGTGTCCGGCAAGGATGATTGTTCTGTAAAATTCTGCTCTTGTAATTTTTATATTCGCTCTTAATTAGTAAACGCATGTGTTCTTCTTGATGTCAAGTCTCCGTGATGCGTTATTCGACATCCTCGAGAAGAGCCAAGACTTCAAAATTGACATCAAGCAGCTACCATCAGCATCAAACATCATCATCAAAGAAGAAAAGAACCTCACTGACCGCGTGTCACATGAGCTTTTTTTTTATAATAGAACATCTTAACTTGGGGTCTGTTTTGTGCAACGGTGTAGGTTGCACTGCGGCTCTATACTTGTTGTAAACTAGTGTGTAAGCGAGCGTGTTCGCTTTATTTTTTTGGTGTGTCAAGGCTGTTCTCTTTTGCCTTTGCATTTGTTTGTATTTTTCTTGGGGGGTTTGTTCAAGTGGTATTCAGAGGAGTACGTTTTATTCGAGGAGCGCATTTTAGCGTAGACGGGTGACGGAAATTTTTCGCGTTAACTTCGAGGGTGCCGAAAAAGCCTTCGAGCTTACAGAGACGTTTTGTGACAATACGAGTAGCTCCGTCACCTAGGATAAGCGTTTGCGTTCTTGGCACGGTGAATGACCTTTAACGCCGGCTGTTTTTAAACGTGTTGTATAGACCGAATCGCCGCCCCCCTGCTCCCCTGGAACACTCCCGCAACAATTGTGACTATTTGCAGGATGAGGATGAAGTTCTGGGCGCCAAAGCGACCAAGTTGTAATGTTATGGGGTGTCTATAGTTGCACGTGCATCGGCTTGACTGCGTTTCTTGCAGCAAATGTGTGTTATATTTTGCATGTGCTTCATTTCTCAGGAATTAATATACAACGTAGGCAACGAGTTTCTGCTGTTTTCATTTGGTGATCTGTTTAGAAAGGTGTGAGTCGTACAAAAACAAACCCATTTCGTAGGTTTGTATTTGGCTCGTTTCTCAGAGACATAAAAATAGCAATTTTTACAAACCGTTATGGAAGTGAGATTGCGTGGTGCGTTTCCGGACTTTCTTGTTTTCTTAAGTGGGGGCATAGGAGCCTGAGTACGCGGGTGTATGAAAGAAGTGGTTGCCACTTATTGATCTTTAGTCCCGCATTTGTCACTCGTATGATTGTCTGTTGTATCGCGCAAACGACTAACGAAGGATCAAAATTATTTGCTTTTTTACAATTTCTGTGTATTGTTTCTTGTACAGTAGGCCCAGGGCAGGATGTCTTAAAATGAGTCACGCGAATGGTGATAAACCTTACACGAAACATTTTGTTTTTGTTTTTAAAGTTTCGTTGTCAAACGTTTTTTTGCTAAAGCCTGGTTAGTTAAAAAAAAACGTTATCCTGTAGCGTCTGACGAATGCAAACTGTGAAAAAATATGGAAACCGTTGACTACGTTTTCCTAGACTGTTGTGACTGCGGTCTTATTTTGGGACGTCCTGCAAAGGACCATCGAAAAAGACTTCCCTCTTAACGCCCCACGACATACGTTTTTGAGCGGTAAAAGGGGAAAATGACGTTCCCTGCGACAGGATCCTACTGTTGGGTCTGTGCAGCGTATGGCGGTGACGAATCGCTGTACGCTACGCGGACATCGATGCTCGCCCCATACGTAAGCATTTTGTTGAGCACATGTGCTTTCCGAAAGAAATGTATAAGGACGAGCAATTTACACCCGAGTGGCTCCCTTTTCTTGAGGCGTTGCCTACGCTGAGAGACCTGTAGCACGTTCGGCATTAGCCAGGACGGCTGCTGTCTTTTAGTGCTTTATTGCGATTGTGTGTGACCGCCTCATGCCATTGTCTAAAGTAGAAATAATAAAGCAATAAAACGAACCGCGTGCGTGGCGGAGTTGGCAACAC